GCGGGGGCTCCGCGGGGTCCGGGAGATGCTGACGTAGCCACCCTCCGTGCAGCCCTCTGGCCGGAGCAGCCGATGGGCCCGATCCCCGCCCAGCTCCCCCAGCAGCCCCGGCGAGAGGCGGCGGCGAGGGCTTCGGGGCGCCCGGCCCGGCTTGCTCGCACAGACGTCGCCCGAGCGAAGCGGCGAGATCTGCTCGCAGGGCGGCCGCGGCACACCCGAGAAGGGGGAAGCGGGGGGGGGGGGAAGGGAGAGGTTCAGCAAAGCGCGTTTCCTTCCCCCCCCCATATGGAGGAAAGCGGGGCCTGCCCCTCCCCGCCGCCTGGGCGCAGGGCCGCTCCCCCTGCCTGGGACGCCCGCGCCCCCCCGGCGTCCCCCCCCCACTGCCAGCGTTGGCCCGGGGAGGCGGCTTCCTCGCCCGCGACCCGGCGCAGTCCGGGCGGGGAGGCAGAAGCGGCGCAGGGCCGCCCCCGCTTGCCCCGGCTCGCCCGAGAAGCCCCCCCGGCTCGAAGGGCCGCCATCTCGGCGCTTGGCAGCCTCCGGGGCCCGGGCGGGACGAGCAGGGCGGCTGGCCCGGGAGACCCGGCCTGAATCGAGGGGGGGGGGGACGCTCCGCGCATGAAGGGCCGCCCGGGGAGGCTGACTCGGCGGCGGAGCTCCAGGCGAGGCGAGGCGAGGCGAGGCGAGGCAAAGGACGCCGGAGCTGAGCCGGGCGAGGGGCAGACGGGGCGATCCCCGCCCAGAGGCCGCGGCGCTTCTCGTCGCGCCTGCCGCCATCCGGGTCTGGGTTCGAGGCTCGACCAGCAGCAGGAGGGGACCTCCGAGTAACCGGGAGGGAAGCCCCGCCAGCAGGGCAGGAACGCTCCCGCCTAGAAGCCGCGCTCTCCCGCTCCCCCCGCTTAGCGTTGCGAGGAGCAGCCTTTGCCCATCGAGGCCCCGCAGGGACCGAGCCGCAGCCTGGGACGGCCCGCCTGGCTCGGGGTCCCCCGTGACCGCCAAGCCGGACGGATGTACGGGGCCAATCGCGTCCCACCTTTTGCAGAAACGGCCCTCAAAAGCCGGGGGGGGGGAGCAGGAGAAAAGCGCTCCAGCTGCTGCCTCCCAAGGCCCAAGCCTTCCCCGGGGGGGTCTCTGTCGCCCAGAGGGGGGGCTCCTGCTTGGGTGGAGAATCTGCCCGGTCTCGGCTTCTGCGGGGTCTCCAATTTGCCTCACTTTTCTTGGCCAACACAAGCCCCCCCCCCCCAGATCTCAGCTGTTAGAGAAACTCACCTTTTCCATCGTTAGCTGCATCTGATGGGGAACCCCTTCAATGACCCGGCCAGCCATCCTGGCTCCTGCTTCCCGTTGCCCTGTGACCTCTTCCTGGGATGTCAGAGGGACCCACCACCAGCCCCACTGCAAGGATCAGGTTGTGGGGAGACTGGCTCCTGAATGAACTCTAGAAAGAATTTCCCAAACAAATGTTGGTGGCATCGGCTGTACCTTTTTCCTGCTGATTTTGGGGCTACTGAGCACCCTGAGTCCATCAGGGAGGCCTTGGGGTCACAATGCCGGCTGTGGAGAGTGGAAGGGCTGCCCCCCCCTTAAAATCCCCACTTGCAGCTAGTTTCATCAGTTCCCAAAAGAAGCGGGGGGGGGGGGAACCTCCCAAGGGCTGCTGTAGCTTCTGCCGAAGCCTTTTCTGATCAGCTTCTTTAATCTGTTTAAGGCAAGGGCTGTTAGCAGAACAGCATGGTCCACCCTGCGCCCCATCTTCACTAGGGGAGCAGGGCAAGAGACCCCTTGCCAGCAAAGCATTGTTTCCTTCTAAAATGGGAGATGAGTCACATTGCTACGCCAGGACTGTCTTAACTTTGGGGCCTAAAGGAAGCATTGCACGCCTGTCGCATCTGGATTTCAGAGTGGCTAATCTGCGTGCGCACACATGCGCGCGGACACACACACACACACACACACACAAAGCCAGTTCCAAAACTGACTAATTTGGTCTGGGTTGCTTCTGCTGTCAAAACATCACAGAATGAATTCTGCACATCATACTTGATTTGGGTGTGACTTTTGATGTTTGGGATAAATGTACATTGAGCTTCCTTGGGAAATTACATTCTGGAGTTAAAATGAAAACACTTGAGTTGCTCAGCAAATTATATTCACACAAACAAGCCCTGGGTCTGAAAGTCATGGGAATGGATTGGCTTGCAATACATCCTATCAGGATGAAGCCATAGGCTGACCAGAAGCCCCGATTGGAGGAGCCTGCCAGTGGCCCCATCTTTAGCTCTGGGTGGGATGATGCTACCCAAGAAGGACCAGATGCACAAACTCTTGGGTTGGACTACCACAATTTGCTCTTCACAGGACTGCCCTGGAAGAAGGTTCAGAAACCACCGTGGATGTAAAGTTCAGCAGCCTGCTTGCCAACAGATGGAAGCTGGTACAGCAGAAGGGCACCGATCCTGTGGGAGATGCTCCAGTTTCTGGCTGGCTTCTGGGCTCAGTTCAGGAAACAGGAAAAGTTGTTGATGGATTAACTCCCTGCTACCTTCTCCATAACATAGTCAAAGGTGGCTAGCTAGTTTATGGCTTGGTATAAAGAGGATTCTTTAATTTTGCAGAATTTACCTGTAAAGGCGTACCAAAGATGGTGCAGCAAACAGACTGGGCAACCCCATGGCATTCAGAGGGTTACAGATGCCACTGCAGCCCTCCAGAGACCATGCCTGGGCATAGGGAAGAGAGGGAGAAGCAGCAGCCATTGATGTTCCCCTGCCTTTTGCCTGGACTCCAAACTCTCTCTGGGACCTGGGCAGCCTGGCTCTCCTGCGAGGGTTGCCCAAGCCAAGGTGGCAGCGGCATACACCAACCAAAAGCTGGGATTGCTTCCACACCTCTCGTTCACACTTAATGAGGCAAAATCAGCAGTAACCTGGGCCACCGTAATGTGGGCTCCATGATGGTCTTCTAGAAGAGCCACAAAGATCCACTCAGAGGGAGATGGGGTTGGGTCCCTATCCTGGCTGTTGGCACTGTTGTGCTGGTGCCATGTCTTTCCCTGCCAGCAACCACAATCCCCCCCACCCTTCACAAGCGGCCATTGTCACTGCCACCACCCAGCTTCACCAGGCTCAGCTCAAAAGAAGGGGTCGTGCCAAGGGGTCACATTTCCCACTTGGAAATGGGAATCTGCGCTCTCCGAGAAGACCCCAAAGTGCCAGAGGCGGGGGGGGCTGGTGGTATTCAAGATCCTTAGTCTCGTGAGGCTCCTTCCCACCAGGAGACCCCTCCCTCCCAGCCTGGAGCAAATCTTATCTTGCTCACCAGAGGTTGGGATGCCTGTGCCCCCCCCAACCTCTGTCTATCTGTCTCCTGGTTCTCCCCCTTCCCAGCAACATTACATTTGTATCGTGGCATCGCCTCTAGGTGTGATTGGAAGGAGGTTTGCAAACCGCGGTTAAAGCTAATCCTGCTGCTGTTGACCTCAATCAGTGACCTGGAAGGAAACCAGGTTAGGCAGAATTGCAGAGAGGGCAACAAAGTCACTTTTAAAAGGAAGGTGGGCACACTGTTGGTGACCAGCCTCTTTGGGGCAACCAGTCTCGAGGGCGGCATATACCCCTGTGGAATGACAGGCCGATGGCATGGAGCAGTGGGGGGGAGGGGACAGTGGGACCTCCAGCCTGATCTCAGGCAGCCTTCTGTTCCCCTGAGCATAGAGGGGGAGGGTGCACCCCCAAGGGGGGGGGCGATCAGAAATGGCACCTTCCCACCAGGACAGTCTCTCTTCGGCAATCAAAGCACAGAAACGCCTTTCAATCCCTGCACCAAACAAATAAAAATAAACAATTTAAAAAAGACAGAAGAAAGTTTATAAAGTAACATTCTAACTTCTTTAATGCAGTCCAATCCAATAATTATTTTCTGCTTTGAAATCACTCTGTGAACTCTCTATTTGCACAGGAGGTTGGTGGTACAAAAAACGTTTTATCATCTAATTGAAAATGTTAAACTTCTGGGGGTCTTTATGCATCAACCAACCAAGAGTGCCCTCTGACCTTCTTTTAAAGTTTAAGCTTATTTCTCCCACCCCCAACTTCCTTTCACTTTGCATAACTATATTATCCCGTAGACTTAAAACAATCAACTAGGCAAGGTTTTTAATTATGATACATCTAAAAAAAATGAATCCTATCCTAACATGACTGCTGCTTTAAGAGCTCTCTGTATAATTGCCCTGGAAGGCATCTCAGTAGCAAATCACTACAACAGGTCCTAAAATCATAAATGTAATAATAATAATAATAATCATAATTAGAAGAGAGAAGAGAGAAGAGAGAGAGACAGGAAACCAATGGCCAAGTGTTGAGGATCAGACAAACAAGCCAACCACGACTGAGGCGTCCCTGCGCAAGGTCCTCTGGGAAGCCGCTGCTATGCCCTGCCCGTGTGTGTGTGTGTGTGTGTGTGTGTGTGTGTGTGTGTTGGGCAGCCTTCTGGTCAGCCCAGGAATCTCTGTGGCATCTCTTTGCTTCTTGCCAACTGCCCCGTCTTCTTTAAAGAAAAACCATGGCTGGTGTGGATTTTCCTTTCCAAGGAAACAGCCATGCTACCTACCGGGTACCACGGGGGATGTGTGGATGGGTAGACAAGATGGCTAACGTGGGAATCCTGAGCAGAGAGAAAGGCCGAAGGGCAGAGGAGCGCTGGACTCTTTGCCAGACGAAGCAGGACATCTCCAACCTCTGGATCCAGCTTTGGGGCATCTCTTTTGTTCACGGGGTCTCCGAGCCGGGTCTCTGCCAGCCTTCTGCTCAGGTTCCCCCATCCCCTACATATCCACCCTCACGCAGGGACTCTGCAGATGGCCAGCTGAAAACTGTCTCCATCTGGGAAGGGTTGGGAGAGAGAAGAAAGGGGAAGAAGGGTGGGCACCTCAAAGGAATTTAAGTCAACCTCTCCCCACTCTAAAACTGCATCTGGTATCTCACAGCCATCTTCTATAGAAAAAAAAAACCACAGACTGCTGCTTCTTAAGAGCCAAGGCGCCTCACTTTGCATCTGGCCCCATCGGTTGCTGGTCGGCTTCTGGATCCACCAGAGACGAGGCAAACGCGGACTGCACGATCTGAAACCCAAAGGATTCCAGGAGAGACATGTTCTGTTGGGGGGAGAAGGGGGACCCCAAGGCAGAGGCCAAGTCCCCTAAGGGGGCCCCCAAGGAGCGGACGTGAACTTTCTGTATGTGTTTGTTGAGATAGGACTTGGATCTGAAAAAGCTGCCACATTCAGGACAGGGGTACTTCTTATCCCCCTCTGACTCCAATTTGTTTTTGGCGACCACCATGTCACAGGAGAAGGAACCGTTGGCATTCTGCTTCTCGGGCGTCTTGAGGTCGCTGGCGTCAGAGAGGTCTCCGTAGGAATCTGAGCTCTCAATCTGGTCCGAATGTGAGCATTTCTGGCCTTCTAGGAAGAGAAAGAAAACAGCAGTTTTCAAATCCGACGGAGGCCACCCGTTTCCCAGGGACGCCCCTTCTATTTCTTCTATCCCAGGCAGGGGGGTAGTCTAGCTGAGAAGTGCAGCCACAGCTACCTTAAGTAGCAAATGCAAAGCATTGGGCCAGGGATGTCCAACCTTGGCAACCTTTAGGTCTTGTGGACTTCAACTCTCAGAGTTCCCCAGATGGCACGGCCGGCTGGGGAATTCTGGGAGTTGAAGTCCACAAGTCTTAAAGTTGAGCACCCCTGGATTAGGCCCCGAGGGACACACAATGGCCCCAAGGGGCTGCTAGCTAAATTGGCCCAATTCAAGTCCAGGGCAAATTCCAAACCTGGGCTAATTGTCCTTCAAGATGGCAACGTCATCAACGTGCAACAAAACATCCCACACCATGTTTCAATAAGTTTGTGAAAGTCTCATCCCCTGGACTTAGCCACTGCAGCTGCTGGCACCTTTATGGACAAGGAGGATGTGTTCATGGTGTGAAAGTGCAAGGGAAAGCAAGAACACCCCCCCAATTCACCATAGAGAAGCCGGTGTCTGCCATGGAGGTGCAGCATCCCAGGCTAAGGTGTAGCTTCCCACGAGAAGCCGTATGTGAGGACCTGCAAGCCGCAGAGGGGTGTTGCATGCAGACCCCCCAAAGCTCAGACGCTTCTCTGGCTGGAAGTCAAGCACACCGAGAGATGCAGCAGAAGGCGGACCACCCTCTGGGCTCTACCCACTTCCCCCCCCACCTCTGTAACCCATAAAATAGAAAACAGAGCCAAGAGCCCTCCCCACCTACAACTGCCTCCCTGTGTCGTGTCAGGAAAGGCACGGACAGGCCCCCACCCGGAAGGCTTACTTCCATCTGCCCGAGCTGACGGCTCCTCCACCCAGCCGTCTGGGCTCAGGGCGTTGGCCTGTTTGGGATCCCAGCCACCGTCTTCGTGCGCGGGGGCTGAATCAGGCCATGCAGTTGAGTCTCCTGGAGTCTATTTCTTTGGGTACAGCATGTGATGTGTGAACGCAGCGTCTCTCTGGCTTAGGATTTACCATGGTGAATGGGCGTGGCCCTACTGGGAAGCGGCTAGCCTTCGTTGCCGTTGCCCCACATGGGGGGCAGGGGCCCTGCGAGACTGTCCAGTGCCTGAGGGCAGAGCTGGCCCAGGAGCAACAGGTCTGCGGAACAGCCCAGGAGCACATTTTTTGCACCCAAAGGAAAACATCACATGTGAATGAAACCTCACCACATGACCCATCAACCTCAAAACAGGTGGGGCTGATGGGTAGTGATGCCATGCCGGCCAGAGATGATTTAGAGCCCTGTTCCACATGGGGGAGGCAGTTGAGAAGGCACAGAAGAGGGCAAGGAGTGGAGAAGAGGGTCCCTCAAACAACAACTGCTAATTGCTTTCCTCAGCAAGCAAAACCAGATTCCCCCAGCAGACCCACAGACATGACCAAGGGGTGGGGAGGAAGGACCACTCTCCCCCTCGGAATAAAAGCCCTGGGGGGCAACCAAGCCTGGAAGCTCTGTTGGCCACTTCAAGCACGATGCAACTGTCTTCTCAGTCTTCAGAAGCCGGGACCTTATGCCCACTCCCACTGGGCATGACTGCCTTCACTGCTAGCAGGATCTGCACCCAGGAGCCTCCCTGCACACCCACATGAGATCAGCTGGTGCCGCACCGCCTCCCGGACATCCAGGGCTGACCGCCTCTCTGGGGGCCACCAAGCTGCCCATCAGAAGGCTGAGCTGTCCTCACACTGAGTAGCCTCCCCAGAGATGGGCCAGGGTAGGGCTCTCCTATTTCCCTCCACCATGGGAAGGTTGCCATGAGGTCTGAAGCATGCATGAAGGAGGCAGTCTGAGCTTCCTGGGCTACCGTTCTGGGACAGGTGGGGAGCAGACACCCTTGTCTGGAAAATGTCAGTGGTTCATGGTGAGGAAAACATTGATTTGAGGGTCAGAAAGAGAACATCAGAACACGTGCTTCAAAAACTGCTCTCCATGCAACAAAACCCAACCTGTGGAACACAATTCTAGGGAACGGCCCCGAGCCCTGGGCGAGCTGAAGAATGGGGGCAGCTGACCTGCGTCTCTCCAGCATGACAGTGAGGCAGGACCCCCCCCCCCCTTAGAGACAGCAGTATCTCAGAATCCCAGCGGGGTCTTCTTCCCTTCCCAGAGCCTGGGGGTGGGTGCCCTGGACGGCCTGGGCACGGCCTTCCTTTGCTCCCTAAGGCCTTTGCTCTGTCCTGTCCTCAGCCATGCGAAGGGCCCCTGGCCGCCCCCCCCGGCCCCCCCACCAGAGTCCTACACCAAGATCGGGGGAGGGGTCGCTTGCCTTTGATGCCATAGGTCCTGACGCTGTGGAACGCCGCTCCCCCATTCGGAATGGGCTCCGGGTGCCTGGAGACCTGGGGAAGGGGAACACCGTGGTGGGTTTTAACATGGACCTTTAAGTAGGAGGCAGAGGAGAAACCTAAACAAGACAAAAGGAGATGAGATCCTGCCACCAGCACCGAGGCGCCTCTGCCTGTCTCCCCTCGGACCACTCTGGCCACTCCCAGGACTGGCGCGACGGGTCTTGGAAGAGGCAGCAACCTTTGTGCCCCTCTGGTGGGGGGAAACTGCCCAGGAATGATGAGGGCAGCCGGTAAAGGAGAATATTTGCACTCAGGGCTGAAACGAGGATCCTGGGTGGTCTCTGAGCTCTGTTGTTTTCTTGCAGACGTTTCATGACCCAACGAGGTAACACCATCAGTGTTGGCACTGATGTTACTTTCATTACCACTTATGACCACAATGGGGCACAAAATCACCATTGCTAAGCCAAGCAGTTGTTAAGGGGGTTTTGCCCTATTTTACACTCATTTTTGCCACAGTTGTTAAGCAAATCAGTGCAAGGAAACAACCAAGCTCAGAGAGAGGAGGGGAGCTTCCAGGCCCAGCAGATGCTGCGGCAAGACAAGCCAGGACTCTAGAATCTGTGTCCCTTCCAGAAAACCCCAGGCCAGGCATACCTTTAAACACTCAAGTCTGCTCTGCTCTGGGAGGAACCTAGAATGTCTGGCCAACTTTGGCCAACACATCAAGACCAAGAAGATGCCTTCTGGTAGAACAGAGGAAAAAATCTCCTGGAGAAGGAAGATCTGCTAACCTGAATCCCACCAGACAGGACAGGACAACTTCTCCAGAATTCCCCACCAGCAAAGCTGCAACTCCTGACACACCAGGGGTGTCAGGTGGGGAATGGCAGGGATGAGACTCAGAAGACTCCACCTTCTCCAGATGGTTGTTGGTCAAACACCACTAGACCCCCCAAGAAGAGCCAGGTGGAGTTTGAAAACGAGAGTCGCCCTACGCCCATCCACTCCCATCAAAGGAGGACTTATCTCCTGCTGACAGTGTGCTCCTAAGGTCAGAAGGGCCTCTGGTGACGTCTTGCTGGCATTTCCTGGGGGTCCCTTCTCTATGCCAACGCCTGAGAGTATAAGGGGCAGAGCCCAGATCCTTCTAACCCTGAAGCCATATTTCCCAACCCTGGTAACTTCTTCAACCTTGGCAACTTTAAGATGGGTGGACTTCAATTCCTGGAATTCCCCAGCCAGCAAAGCTGGAGTTGGAGTCCACCCATCTTAAAGTTGCCAAGGTTGATGGACCCTCTGCCCTGAGCCAAGAGGCTCCCAGCTCACACGCCATTCTCAGGTCTTTATATTTATTTTTTTGTTAGTGGAGAAAACCAGGCCGAGTCCTACATTTAGAAGATCAAGAAAAAAGAGTTCTTCTTGTTTTCCTGAGAGAGAAAGCCACTTAATGTTACCAGCCGCAGGGCTCCCGGATTAAACAAGACAGTATTACCTAGCAGTTTTTACCCTGATTTCTGGCTCTGAAAACTGTGATTGCACAGAAAGTCTCCAGACGGCTGCCGTTTCAGGGCCACGGAGGGGGACGTGCCTGCTAAGGCTCCACTTTGCTAGGATCACTGCAGAAATTCTGGATTGGGCTGGACCTCTTTTAAGGAACGGATTCAGAACTCACCTTTGCAGGCGGTCCTCAATTTATGACCACAATGGAGCCCACTATTTCCATTGCTAAGCAAAGCAGTTATTGAGTTGTGCCTCATTTTAGGACTAGGCGAATCCCTGCAGTTGTTAAGTGAATCTGGCGTCCCCCATTGACTTGGATTGTTGGAAGCCGGCTGGGAAGGTTACAAACTGTGGCCGCAGGATCCCGGGACAGGGCAGCCGTTGGGAATACAAGACGGTTGCCAAACAGCCGAATTTGGATTATGTGACCACGGGGATGCTGCAACGGTGCATGAAAACCAGTCACAAGAAGTCACTTTTTTCAGTGGCACCGTAACTTTGAATGGTCACTAAACGAATGGTAATGAGTTGAGGATTAGCTGTATTTTGAAGGCAAGGTAGAAAAATGGTGCCAAAGAGGATCAAATTGTTCTCCAAAGCACCAGAGGCAGGACAAGAAACCGTGGTTGGAAACTGACCAAAATTGACCGGCTGTTTAACGTGGCTTGTGGAACAAGCTTTATGGTTCCAAGTAGCCTTGCCTGCCTCTGCGCTGCCCATGCAAAATGTCGCTTCCTCAGATGCGCTAGATATAGCTAGCAAGTAAAGATACTCCTCGACTTATGGCCAAAATTGAGCCCAAAATTTCTGTTGCTAAGCAGGACAGTTGTTAAGTGAGTTTTGTCCCGTTTTACGACCTTTCTTGCCACAGTTGTTAAGTGAATCACTTAAGATAGTAATATGGTTGTTAAGTGAATCCGGCTTCCCCATTGACAGAAGGTCGCAAAAGGGGGATCCCACGACCCAAGACACGGCAACCGTCACGAATATGAATCCGTTGCCAAGGGCCTGAATTTTGATCACGTGACCCTGGGGAGGCTGCAACAGTTGGGTGAAAAACAGTCACTTTTTTTCAGTGCCGTTGTAACTTCGGTCACTAAGTGAATGTACGTCAACTTAAAGAAAGAAGCTGTTGCTTCTCACACTGCAAGAAAATGTGTTGTTTTCTCTGTCAACCCTCTGGTGCCCGCTCAGTGCAGCTGCAGCCCTGGCACCCGGGGGGGCTCCTGAGGCGAGAGCCTAGCCTTGCCCTGGGGGCGAGTGGGCAGAGGCTGGACCTGAGCCCACCCTCCGGAACATGCAGCTCCAGGAAATCCCAGCCACCAGTCCGGAGGCAGCCGGAGGGGAAAGGCTGAGGGAGGGGGGCTCCTGTCCCGTTCTGGGCCTGCAAAACGTGCTCCTGAACGCGAGGGGAGAGCTGCGGAGCTGCCAACGGGTTGGGTGAGGCCAGTCACACCTCCGGGTGGGCCCAACTTCAGGGCCTTTGAATGTTTTTTTGTTTTTAACCACAACAAGTCCTCCACTGCCGTGTTCCCGCATTCCTGAGCTTGAAATGGAGGGAAGCCATTGAAAGTTGCTTGCAAATGGGGGATCGAGGGTTGCCAGGCCCAGATAACTGGCAGCCTCTCCCTTTTTTCCAGGGCGCGTGGCTGGGCTCCAGCTCTGCCAGGATCCCCCCAGGGCCCTCTTGGCAGAATCCAAGTGGGTGAAGATGGCGGGCACGGGAGGGCCCCCTCTGCTCTGTCATCTGCAGGGCCTTTGAAGGAAAGGGACGGCTCTGACTGGGCTTCGAATGCGAAGGCTTTTTGTGTGATGCTACCCTAAAATGCACAATCTGGTGTGACTCGCAAGGCAAGCACACCTGGCTCCCGAAACAGACCTGCCCCAGGTTTCTGGCCAAAAGTCTCCTTCAGAGGTCAGAGGTGGGGCATTTTCCCCTGCTGGGGAAGGAGAGGAAAATAGCATCTGTGGGACAAGCAGACCCCCCACCCCCAAATCGGATCTCTGCCCAGGAAGCCCGTTAAGCTCAGTCGAAAGCAGGAGGGGCCCAGCTGGAAGACCTGGAAGCAGCTCAAAGCCCCCCCCCGTGGGGAGAAAGGCGCCTGTCTCCAAGGCCCAGCCCACCACTGCACCAGCCCCCCCCTTTCTATCCTTCTGGGGTCCTTGCACACCAATCCCTCTCTCAGCAGCTGCAGGACTAGAGGCTGTTCTATCTCAATTAAGGGGGGGACATCCTGGGGGGGGGGCTGGCATGGCCCGCCCCGCAGGCAAAGCACAGCGCCAGGCTAAAGTGGCCTTCTCTGTAAGCTGCCAGATTCAACCAAGCCCCATGCCAGGGGGGGGGGGGGAGAGAACCAGCAGCCGGAGCTGTGTGGCACTCCGTGGCCATCCAGCCCAAACACAGAACAGCAGCTGAAGGAAGCTGGACTGGGGACTTGGGCGTCTTTGGACTGGTCCTGTGCCAACCAGGTGGCAGGGGGTGCCAACTCATCTGCGTGGGTGCTGGAAGAGGCACAGCAGAGGGAAATGGGGTGACCAGGGGGGCAACACCTAGACTGGAACTGGAGTCCAAGGGGGCCAGAAGAGCTGGAGCCTGTTCCTCAAGCTAAGTGCCTCTGCAGTGTCCCTTGGGGTGTTTGGCCCATAGGAGGGGGTCCAAGCTGGTAGGGCAGCTAAGGGGGCACCCAGAAGAACCAGCCTCAACCTTCCTCAACCAGAAAACCAGAAGGGCAAGAGGCTGGCCAGATGGAAAATGACCAACGTGCTGTCTCTGCATGTCCAGCAAGCAACCCACCCTGCCACTTGTGTCTCCGGGCAGCTTTTTCCACCACAGATCAGCCTTGGGAAAGCCCATTTTAGCCACCGTTTCCTCCCTGCTCAGCCTCCCCAGATGGACTTCCATCTTGCTCCTTGCACGTTAACCTCAAGTAGCGAACACTATCAGCAAATCCAACCAGAAGGTGCATCCGAAGACAAGGATGCCCAGCCTCACTCAGAGTGGTGGCTGAATGCCCCCCACCCCCAATCTCCAGTTCCGCTCTTGAATGGGTCTCCCGCCTGGGAAGCTCTTGCTGAAATCAGCCACCATCAACTTTCCTGCAATTTCAGCCCATGAAGCTATGTCCTCTACAAAGGGGTTCTCCAAACTTGGCAACTTTAAGACTCTTGGACTTCAACTCCCAGAATTCCCCAGCATCAGCTCTACAATATGGGGTGGTTTCCTCTGCTTTTTAGTAGAATGCTGTCCTTCTCCTTCTCTGGCATGTTTCCTCAAGGTTAATCATCCCCACTTCCTTCATTTTTCCTTCACGGGACTCCTGTTTTTGCCCCCCTCCCCTCATTTCCCTGGTTTTCTACTTTAATCCTCTGCTTCAGTGCAGGATCTCTGACAGACAACCATCCAGTCTCTGTCTGAAAGCCTGCAGCAAGGAGAAAAGGATAACACACACTGGACAGAGCAGCTGATAGTTTGTGCACTTAGGAAGAGCCTCCGGATGTCCAACCTGAACCTTCTTCCCTGTAGTTTTAACAAACTGGTTCTGGTCTTACCTGCTGAGGCAACAAAGTCTACTCACTCCTCTAAGTGACAATCCTTCAGGTATTTCCAGACCTTCCCTCATCTTGTAGCCTCCCTATGAACTTGTTCCAATTTGCCAACAGTGCCCTTTTTGAATCGTGGTGCCCAGAACTGGACACAATACTTCAAGTGGGATCTGACCAAGACTGGGTAGAAGAGAGCAATTAGGTCCCAGGATCTTGGCTCTCTGCTCCTACTAACGCATCCCATGTGCTTTTTTTTTAGCATCTGCACTGCACTGCAGGATCATGTTAGATACTAGAATGCCCTGGATAGATCTTTTTGAATTGTTCCCTTTGATCTCTTTTATCCACCCCTCCCAGTTCTGTGTCATCTACAAACTTTGCAAACTCTCCCATCCAAATCCATGATAAAGCACAGGGCCACCCCCAAATGTCCCTCAACTGAAGGGGATCCATTAAGTACAATTATCTATGTCACGGTAGTATGGTCCAGTTCATACATTGCCATTTTATTATGGAGAAAATTACGAGACTTTCTGGCTGTTTTCCTAATCTCCTGGTATACTATGTCTACAGCATTCCCCCCATCTACTAAATTACAGAGCTCTGCTTTTCTTGCATATCACAGCCCCACAAACGGAGCAGGATTCTTGGAGAAAGATCATTTTGCCCTTCCGGGATATATTACCCACAGCTGATACCGCTGATATCACTCACAGTCTTTACTTGCAACATCCAAACCCAGCCATCTTAAGAATTAAATGGCTTTAGTCCTTAATAATTTCTTCTTTGACTACGGCTGCACTCTTACGCATGCTCACTGAAACCAGAGGGACTCCCCATGGAAAAAAAGGGTGGGGAAGGATCACAGAACAGAGCCAACACCGGTTCACATGTTTAGAAATGTAGGTCATGGCCCTGAGGCTGCAATGTGGTCTGGGGAAAGATTCTCCAGGGCTCAAGGGATGCTTTTCTGAGTAAGAGAAAGACACACCTTGCAGAGCGAAACACCCGTCCATTGCGAAACCTGGGAAGGGACTTTGCTGCCATGCCCTCCCTTGGCAGAAGGGCTTGTTTGCCTTGCACACTGGGAGGTTTGTGGGGTGCCTCTCCCCCATGCCAGCCCCATTCACCTTCTTGGAAATGTTGTGCTCTGGGACTCCTTGTGTTTCTGCTTGGAAGAACGGGCGCAGCTTCACCCAGAAGAAGTGAGAAGCCAGTGGCCGAGCCCCAGATTCCTCCCCCCCTTTGCCCAGGTCCTCCTCTTTTGAGATGATTCAGGGAGCGTGCACATGTGGCCCCTGCTCTATACCCAGACACTTAATCTTTGACCCCTGGTGCCTGGAAGGCTGGAATGAGTGCTCAGAAGCACCAGGGCTGCAGCAATGGAAGAGGGGGTGCAGAGCCCAATCTGGGGGTCTCTTGTGCCTCAGAGTTAACAAACAACAAGCTCAAAAGGAACATCCTTTTGTTAAATGGAAGAGTTGCTTTCCTCCTCCTCCTCCTCCTCCTCCTCCTCAGACATCAATCAGCTTGAATCAAGCCACACACACCCCCACCAGCAGCAGGAGATCCATTACCTCTGTTGCAGATGGTGCAGAAATTGCTTGGTCCTTCGCTGTGTTTCTTCAAATGATCCGCCATGTATGCAGCCCGCAAGTATTTCCCACAGACCTGGCAGGGAACTTTGTCTTCGTGGCAAGCCAGATGAGAGCGCAGGCGGTCCCGGGTGGCAAAGGAAGCGTTGCAGGTCTGTGGACGGAAGCAAAGGCACATTAGCCAGACAGGGGCAGAAAGGGACTAGGTTCTGCTGGGGTTGCCTGACCACAGGTTTTTGAGCCAGGCAGTTGGCTGGGCCCATATAGCCCCACAATGCCCAAACCCAAACTATGCCACAGCCCTGTTTCTGCCTCATCTGCCCAGGAGGCTGCAGGGTCCTAACTCAGCAAGACTCACCCACCACTCAATTGTTAAAGGTCAAAGGATGACCAGGGCTGCCCTAAGCAAGAAGAACCAAGTCTGAGCCATGAGATCTGGCTGCATCACGGCTGACTCAACCCATCGGAGAGGGCCCCTCCCTAGTGAGAGATGGTTACTCAAGGGTCTACTTTTTTCTTTTTCTGCTCAGAGAGGAAAGACTAGGGAAGCCAAGAAGCGGATGACCATGAAGGAAACATCTCCAAACCATTTCCCACGGGCACACGATCAACGGCCTTCTTTTTCTTGATTTCTTCCATAAAGTTGCCCAGAAAACAACTACATATACTTGAGGGATAACCTAACATCTCAATATCAATTGAGGATAACCTAACATCTCAATATCAATGTGTCCCGATTTGGGTGGCCACCGTGGCAATCCCTTTGCCCTCGCTCAGGACTTTGCACCCCATGAACTGGGGTGGCCTCAACAATCCAAGGGGTTCTTGGGGGGGAGGGGGGGCAAAGGGCCATCTGGGAAGCAACCCTGCAGCCAGAAAACTCTCCCCGCCCGAGCTCCTCTCCTTCGAATCAGAAGGTCTCCCAGAACTTTTAGGGGTCTTTGTTGGGCAAACAATTCTGCCCCTGGAGGAGCTGCACTGCCAGCCAGGCTCATGTTGCGGCACACGATGCAAGGGCACAAAAGGGGAGGGCTGTGCAGCAAAGCCTGGTAGCCCAGCATCAAAGAGAAGCCTTAGACAGTGTTTCTCAACCTTGACAATTTTAAGGCATGTGGACTTCAACTCCCAGAATTCCACAGCCAGCAATGCTGGCTGTGGAATTCTGGGAGTTGAAGTCCACATGCCTTAAAATTGTCAAGGTTGAGAAACACTGCCTTAGGATCTTCTGAAGCTCAGCTGAGGGTGCTGCCCTGCTCCTGGAGAACCGAGGCCTACTGATAGCATTTGTGTCTGCAACACAAGTGGGTGCAGCCTGGACTGCTAACGTTGCACGAGGAAAGGATTCTGGGATTTCAAATGATGAAAGCCAAAAGGTGACACCCTTTTCAGGTAAGTGAAGGGAAGACCTGGCACTGAGCCAAAGAGCACGCAGGCGAAAACACCAAGAGGAACTGAAAGCAGAGATTTCAGGAGGAATTCCAGGGGTTCGGAGGTCCTATTAAAAGTGCCGTTTCACAACAGATGGAAGTGGAGCCCTTTGGATCTGAAGAAGAAACAGCTTTTGGGGGGGCATAGGAGTGTCCCCCCCCAAAGCATCTCTCTTGATTTGCATGTGAAAGCTCCTCCTCCTCCTCGCGATGGCTTCCCATGTCAAGCAACGTCACCCATGAAAAATAAGAGGCGGTGATTCCAGTGGAAAGTTACCAGTCTGTTGGTCATTTAAAAAAGCCTATCAATTATACGTGGCAGAGCTGCATTATGGCTATCATCGTGGCCATGCGGGTAATCCTCAACTAACAACCACAATCGGAACGGGAAAATTTAGTTGCTAAATGGTGCAGTCATCAAATGACCCCATCCAATTTTGCTGCTTTTTCTGCAGGTCTATGGAGATTCTCCATCATTCAGGTCACAGTCATCCCAAAGGTGCTTTTTCACGAGGCAACTGGACTTCCTTGTTTTTCCTTGAAGATGTTTCACTTCTCATGCAAGAAGAGCAGAAGAAGCTTCTTGGATGAGAAGTGAAATGTCTTCAAAGAAAAACAAGAAAGTCCAGTTGCCTCGTGAAAAAAGCACCTTAGGGATGACTTTTTCTGCAGTCACTACGCAAATTGTTAACCGAAACATCACGCGTGTCATGGTTCCGACAACGTGATCATGATTTGTGACGTTTCCTGCTGGCTTCCCTATTGCCCATGCTGGTCAAAGCCGCAAATGGAGGTCAGGTGATCCAGGGATGCTGCAGCCATTGTGAATGCAAGCTAGTTGCATGTGACCATGGGGATGATGCAACGGTGGGGGGTGCGAGGAGCCGTCATAAGTCACTTTTTCAGTGCTGTCCTAACTTTTAATAGTCATCAAACGAATGGTAGTACAGTATGTTGGGAACTACTTGCAAAAGGAAGAAAAGTATCGCTTTATTTATTTATGTATTAAATTTATAAGCCGCCCATTCCCAACAGGGTGACTCTTGTCCTACACTTGTAAGCGATTCCCCCACCAGGATCTTGGGAGAGTTTGGGAGGTCTGCATAAGTCCCACCAACTTATTTCCCTCTCTCCTTCAAGAGAAATTCCCAGTGACTAGTCCTTAAAACATTTAATTGGCTCATATCTCCTGATGCCAAATCACAGCTTATTCCCAGTCAAAATTAAATTTTAAGAGAAGCCAAAATATAAGATCCAAAATGCAGAGGTCAGCTATTAAGCAAGACCCGGAAAATGTAAAATAAACCATAAAACGTTAATGCCTTTTAAAGAAGAGAAAAACATTACAGGAGATCACTGTTGTTAACAACAGTGGTAAATAAATAAAAGGTCCAGTAGTTTCCTGTCAAGCATGGCAAATATAGTAAACAAAGAGAAGTGTGTTTATATTTAAACAATAAACAGTGTTTAAGAAATACCTCTTGAAGTTTCAACTGCTCTATGGATGTAGAGGTCTCTGAGTTTATCCCCTGGAAGCTGGAATTTTCCTGCTAATAGGCAGGAAGTAAGAAAGATTAGAAAATGAAGACTAATTCCTACATCAACATCAGTGGGGAAGACTATCAGTCTTCACAACCCACCCTCTCCAGAGTCTCCCCGTTGGCTAGAGGGGACGAGGTGCACGCGGAGGGCAGTGAGAGGGAGAAGACCACCAACTGGGTACTCTTGTATAAGTCCCCATTTCTCTAGCCACTTTGGGGAGTTCCACCCTTGGATAGGTTTACCCCCAAAACAACAGCTTTGCTGCAATGTCTGAACCAGCCCCCCCTAAGAAGCTTCTGTTCTCGAGTCAACAGGGCTCAGAAGGACTGAACTGTGATTGTGATGTGCGCACATCCATCAGTCACAACAGCCGGCTGCTCTGGGAACTGCTTGGCCTCTGAACAAGGGAGCGGCCAGATGGATGGAAAGCAAGCAGGAAGCATCTCTGTTTGGATCTCAGCTCCTCTTGTTAAAGGAAGCATACTTTCCTAAACTGTGGCTGTACTTTTCAGTCACACAGCATCTTTTCTGCAGAAGAGGATCAAACTGCCTTGGTCAGAAACTGCAGCTGGACAGATTCTGAGAGGACCTGAAATCAAGACAGTCCCAAGACAGAACTGGAGGGGGAACCGAGGCCTAAGGACGATGCTTTGTTTCTTTCCTAAGGTGCCAATTATCAGGCATAAAAATATAATGACATAAATAAATTCATCAATTGCGAGTACATTTACTAATCACCAAAAACTTCAATAAGGATACCTTTCAAAATGCTGACAGTATAATTTGCAATTTAATATATTTGTCGCTTCTTAAGAGAGGCAAACTTAGATTATTTCTTTTTTCGTTGTCGCTTCTTAAGAGAAGCAAACTTAATTATTTTTTTGTTAGCATATCTTGTTACATATACCAGAACAAGGTATTCTAGCAAAGAAGCAAAAAAAGAATAAAATATCAGACATATTTTTTTTTAACCAATCATTCAGCCAAACTCTCAGCCACATTGTAGACTCCCCAGGCGTGGCTATCCACGGCCATCTCGGTCTTTCCCAACCCAGCGACCTCCAGACCCAGCCCACCTGGTGCTACCAGCTGTTGCTTGTTCTGCTGCAAACAGCTGGGTTGCTCTCTATATTAAGCACAGAAGCGCTGCTCACATCTGGGTGTGAAGCAACAAGGAAAAAAACATAGTCACAGGGGCTGGCTGATTAGCTAGGCAGGACATTTTGGGGGGGTGCCTCCCAAAATTTGGATAGGAGGAAAAAAGGGGGTCTGGTAAGGAGAGCTTGCCCTTTGCTCATCAACAGGTGAATAGAATACAGAATAACAGAACTGGAAGGGACCTTGGAGGTCTTCTAGTCCAACCCCTGCTCAAGCAGGAGATCCTCTACCATTCTGGACCAATGGCTGTCCAGTCTCTTCTTAAAAAACCCCAGTGATGGAGCGCCCACAATAGCCAAATAGCCAAAAAGGGTCCCCGCCAAAAGCAGGCAATAAGACCCTTGTGAAAGAAAACTTCCCTTTAGCTGGAGAATCTCATGGCTGATCTCAAACATCCTAATTCTGGCTAAGTGACTAAGAATGCAGGGGCCTTACAGCTTCAGGGCACCTGAAGGATCATGCAGGTACTCCCTCAGGTAACTTGTGCTGGGATTTGAATGTGAGACTTCAGCTCTACCTGTTCTTGGACCTCCCAAGATTTCAGTCCCATCAAGCACGTTATCCTGCTTCTCAACCCCCTGGCAGTCTTGAGACTGGGGCGGTGTTTTACAATGAGCCCATCTCTCCTGTTGGATTACGATACCCCCTACGGGAAACTGTTGCCTAGTTTTGCTCTGTGATGCTCCACCAGCTTGTTTCCAGCATTTGTGAACATCTACGTGAGACTAGTGGAGCCCTAAGGCCGAGTCCCAGTTGAATGGGGTGAGACCCAGCTGTGTTCCTTCTTCCCCACATCTGGAAGGAAGCAGCTGATTTTCCTGATGCTGCCAAAGTCTGCCAGGCCTGAACAAAGGCAAATAAACGGAGGATAAGTCCAGACAAGATGGAGATGCTGCTAGGATCGGGGTTCAGCTTGTTTTGGACTTCCCCGAAAGAGCGGATCTGCATCAAGAGACCCCCTTGGCTGTCGCTGAATTTACAGCTGATGACAACGGCAAGGAACAGCTTTTGCAGTTGTGTCTAATGCATTGCTTGTGATGATTGGCAATTCCCAGAAAGAGAAACATCGAAATCGGCTAACCTGGAACAACAACTGAGCCTAGCCCTGACACTCCCACCCCCCACCCCAAACAGGCAAGATGGTGGGCGTCCTCCAACTTGACTCATGCCAGCTTCAGCATCTTTCAAGGCCAAACCCCATCCCCAAAAAGCCCACTGCCCTTCCTGGGAAAGGGTCACCACTTCCACCAAGTAAAAATCTGCAGACCATTCCCATGACAATTTCCTCCCAAAAGACACCTGCTTGCATTTAACATTGTCAACCTTCTTGGAGCCAAATTAAAAGGATTTATCTATTTTTCCATTTGCAGGGTTGCTGGGGGGTGATTTCCTCTCTCCCTTATTCCTGGCTGATTCCAGAAGACTGACTGAGGCTGCGACATCGGATGGCGACCGCCCATTACTAACAGAATATGCTACGAACCCCACAGCTGCTTAAAATAATTTCCCCTTTTCTAACTTTACTCAGCTTGGGCTCTTTTGAGACCCCCAAACCTGCAGCTTGTAGACCTCCCCATCTTGGTTTGGGATCTATTACAGGTAGTCCCCAATTTATGACAATTGGGACCAGCAACGTGGTTGCTAAGAAGGTCATCATGTAACTGGAACCAATTTTAGGACCATTTCATTAAGTGAAGCTGCCTCCTCAACTGGCTTTGCTGGTCAGAAGCCTGGAAGGTCACAAATTGTGATAATGTGGCCATAGGACACTGCAACCCTTGTAAATGCAAGCCAGTTGCCAAGCACCCAAATTGCAGTCACATGACCATGGGGGTGGTACAACCATCATAACTCTGAGGACAGGCCATAAGCCACATTTTTAGCATTGTTGCAACTTCAGAACATCGTTAAACAAATGGTCATAAATCAAGGACCACCTGCATTATTAATTCTGCCAACAAATCCCAAAACGCAACCCATGTTCAGAGGATGCTTAATCCCCTTTAATCCCAGTTCATTTCCACCAGCAGCAGCAACGCTGGGGGGGGGGGTGTTCTAAGAGCCGAAGCCCACCCTCCTGAGAGCATCCAGGCTGGAAAGGCCGGCCCAACATGCGTGACATGGGGGAGAGAAAATGGGGGGAGGGGAGATTGCACAATTGTGGGCAAGAGAAAAAGACCCCTGCAGCTGCAGTAAGGCCCTGGGGCATCCTGACAGCTGGACAAGAACTTCACTGTTTGTAAATTGCTTTGGTTGTAGCGCAAAGGGGAAGGAGGTTTTTTTCCCCTTCAAATCCTATTAAATCAAAAGTACAACAAAGTTCTATTTTCAGCGGATTATCTCTGTGTTTTAAACTTCAATTGCAAACAAATTTGGGCCACTGGAAGGAAAACTCTGCATATGCTTTGCCTACTCCTGTTCTGCTTCAGCTACAAGAAGCCTCCGAGAGAAAGCAAGGAAGAAGCAACCCATTCCCAACGTGATGCTCTGAAGGCTGTTTTTTGGGGGGGGGGAGGGTGCATCCAGGAAATGGTGTTCAGGGGCTGGTTAGCGCTGCCCTCAAACTATGGCCAGCTCTTGGTGGACAGGCAGAAGAGACAAAGGAACGGGAACCCCAGTGTCTAACTGGGAAAAGCCAAGCTGTAAAGGCTGGGGGGGGGGGAGGGTCTTCCAGGGAAGAAGGAGGCAGCTGGAGAAGCCAAAGACAACCTCAGGAAGCGGCCAAGAGGTCCAACAGCCTCTGGACTCCACTGCAAGGAAACGGCCACACAAGGGCTCCACCTCCACTGCAAGCGCATGCTCTGTTTTATCCTTATGAACACCTCCGCCCCATCCCAGGATACCTACCTGACATTTGTGAGGTCTCTCTGAGGTGTGCACCTGCTTGATATGCCCATTCAGATGGTCAGGCCTTGAAGAGAAAAAAAAGTACAAGCGTGACTCAGTCTGCAAGCTTATTCCTTGGACGCAAAGTTCAACCACCGTACTCTGGTCAAGGCTGTCTCCAGAGGTGGGGAGGCACCGCATTTACAAAGACCCTGCCCACCCGCCAAGCTCCTGAGGAGCAAGGAGGCCATCGTGCCTTGAGTGAACAGGAACTGCACAGTGGCTTCCAAGACACCAGTGGCTTCCAGGCAGGGCCGCAGCCAGAAATGAGACCTCTCGGCTACCTGAGCTGGGCCTGCATGACCAAAGACCAACATCACAATCTAATGGTCCAGCCCAGGGTCCCTTACAGAACTCGGGTCCCCTCAATAGCAAGCAGGAGAACCTCATGGACAAAACCCATCTGCCTTCTGTGTGGTTCACTCTCATCCAGGCAGGAGGAGAACGGACGGCTGGGACACAGCCCTGCTTATCATCTGCCAGACGAACAGCAGCGACTGAATCTCTGCAGCAGAACTGCCCCCCCCACATTAGAACCCCTTTTCTAATTGTTATTTATGTTTACTTATTTATTTATATTTTGTGTTCCTAGATCCCCCCCCTCAAGGAGGGGTTCTGAGTGTATGTACAGTATATTTCCACATCTAGAAATTGGTTATCAGCTGGCTCAGGAATTCTGGGAGTTGAAGTCCACGAGTCATAAAAGAGCCACGGTTGCCTACCCCTGACCTAGGTTAAATAAATTCTACATCTAAGAAGTGCATGGATTGCAGATCACCTTCAGAAAGGTATTCCCCCCCCCAAAAAAAAAATTTATTTCTCCGAATCTTAAAAAAAAAAGTTGCTATTTTTTTAACAGCTCACAGGCAAGCTTACGCACGTATTATCCATTTAAGATTTAGTAAGTGACAATCCTTTGTATGTTTAAGCATCAAACAGCACCTTGAAGGATTTAAAATACCTAAACCACGAATCACCTTCATTTGTGATTTAAAATATATCTCTATAATTATTGTTTAACATCTGAAATCTTCCACAAACGGTCTTGAGTGCCATCGCTCTGAAGGAGCCCTCATGCGACTGCAGGATCCAGAAGAGCTGTCAGAAGGTAGGATAAGATAGTGGAATTCTCTGGGATGCTTCCATGAAGATAAACAGCATGGAGAATTGTGTGGCTTGGAGAGTCACTCGGTGAAACAGCAACTCGGTTATGGCAATTTGCTCCTGCAGGATCTGATGCCTGGCTAGACTAGCCAGGCCACGTCCTTCTGCTGGACGGTGAGTTCACCCATCAACATCCACTGGACACACCAGCAGGGAGGTGTGGATAGGACGGCCACCTGAACAGACCACTTAATGCTTGCAGATCCCATTCAGCAGGTAACACAACCACAAACAAGCTTCTTCTTTTCCAAGCATCACCAGAAAAGTTGGAACAAAAGTGGGAAGAAGGCCTGGCCTGAAACCAGAAGTTGCTTGGAAATGAAATGATCCCCCCCCCAGTGCAGCTCAGTGGAATTCACCCGTGGGCGCTGTAGTTCAGCTGAGGCAAGGGCAGGTGGGCTATGGACCCGGTACTGGAGAGGCCGTTTGGTCCTTCTAGTGGCCATTCCTGGACTCAGTGGCCTCCATGCACCAGCACAAGGCAGAAACAGGGTTCTGGGAGATCTCAGTCAGAAAACGTGGGGGCTGTACACGTTCCTGGGAAAAGCAGGGATGGTGGCCGGACGGCGCCCAACAAGTCTGAGACTAGTAGCCCCAAGGAAGTGTTTTCACTTATTAGGATGAGATTTCACAACCATCACCTCTATGAAGCGTTTGGGATTCTTCTCACACAGTGCAATTTTAGCCATCAGATTCAAAGGAAGATCTCCCTCCCTTCAGTAGAAGCTTACTCTCTTGTAGTTCCTTGGGACCAACATGATCAAAGCTGACAGTGATCACTTTCTGCTGGGAGACAGACCTTCAGAGCACCTTGGGGAAGAACTTGGAAGTGGTGAAACACTTCTATAAGTTCAGGAAATCTTCAAGGATTTTGCTTGTTATGGTCTTGCTGCTTCTTACATTTCACCCCATGTTCAAAGCTGGTGAAGACCCCATCCTGCTCTGAGTTTGAGCTGCAAGACTGGGCCAGAAGACCCTTTGTGCTTGCCAAAAAGGGGCAGATTTTGTGCAAAAGCATGAGGTCCAACATTCTTTGGTCATGATGTGTGATCTTGCCTGATGGAACATAACACCTGAAGAGCTCACTATGGGGGACACTTTTACAGCAGGAGTCTCCCACCTTGGCAACTTTAAGACTTGTGGACTTCAACTCCCAGAATTCCTCAGCCAGCATGGTCATTAAATTACCAAAGTTGGAGACCCCTGCCATAACAGTGTTCCCCACAGTGAGCCCTTCAGGTGCTTGTGCCACAAGGCAAGATCACACATGGGCACTACAGAATAACATTCAGATTAAAGACAGGAATCTCACCATCAAGATCTCAGGTAGACTCATGCACAAAGACCCAAATCAGGGGTCTCCAAACCTGGCAATTTTAAGCCTTGTGAACTTCCAACTCCCAGAATTCCCCAGCCAGTATAACTTAGCCAGAGTTGTTCACAAGTCTTAAAGTTGCCAAATTTGGAGACCCCTGGCCAAAATCACCTGAGCCTTGCCTATCATGCAATATGGAAAGCTCAAGAGATGTGGCAACCTCGTAGACATTCTACCCACCTCTGATTAAAAAAAGAAGCATGTTGACATTTTGTGGGATTTTCTGGACTGCTGTAGGCACCTCAGCAGAGCTGCTGTACTCTGGCTAATGTCAACTACCCCCCCCCTCCATCTTTCTTCTAAAGACAGCAACCCTCAACCCACTTACCTGGATGGAAGCCTTGCTAAACTCAGTGGCACTTACTTTCATCTCTAGGGCTGCCCTCAAAGAGGCTGACGCAAGAGCCTTCTTGTGGACACTGAGCAGCCTAAAACGAGCCGCAAAGATGCCAGGCTAAAGGCACAGAGCTGCTCCCATCTCAGTTCTCCAACAGTGGGTGACTCAAGAGAAGTGCCCAGTGCCAGGCTACGCCCCTTGCCACCAAGCTCTTGGAAATGCCACTGCTGCATCTGAGGAAAGCAGGCCAAACCCAGGCTGACCAGAGGCAGTGCCCGACGCTCATTTGGTCAAAGGAAGGAAAAGGGACCCCTCGCTCTGCAGAGGCAGTGGGGGCGGCCAGGAAAGGAAGACGACGTCCATCTCTGTGACTGTTGGGTCATGAAGGGAGGTCTGGGAAGAGATGCTACTCAGACTGAGGCCAGAGGGGTGCCAGGCACTTTTTGAGATGCTGAGGACTCTTCAGAAAGGGGAGCCTTGCATGTGCGGGTCACAGGGTGCCCCAGTTGCCATCTTTCCTCAAGCTCCTCTGTGCCAAGGCAGATCAGGCACGCTAGGAGGAAATATAGCGGCTGGGCCACCTGGAAAAGGTTCCTAAGGCCGCCGGCTGCCAAGCAGGGCTATGGCACAGATTCTGACTGCCCGCTCCTAGGCAGATGCACACAAGGCTCTTGCCAGGCTCAACGAGGCTCTTTTGTCCCTAAAGGGGAGGGCCCTGCATGGGGGGCTTTGTTGCCCTGCCTGGACAGGTGGCGCTCAAAGAATTGAACCAACGATCTGAGCTACTCAGATCAAGCAAGACAGGAGGACATTAATTAAAGCCGGATTTTTTTAAGATCCACAACTGCCTAGATTTGGCCACCCCTTAACGTATCAGCAATCCTGACTCAGAGCTGTTTGTGGACTGGGCAAGGGGTCTGCTTTGGCCTGCTGCCCACCCCTCAACCTGAAGTGGAAGAAAATCACACTATGATTGGCTGACTGCATAACCCCATGCAAGTCCCAAATCCGATTAGGCTCAGTCTGAAATGTGAACTTGGCCAGAGTCATTTTCTCCCTTTAGACGCCAGCAAAAGCCGGTCCTGCCAAGCCGCCTGCCAGGCTGGTCCCCTTGCCTGGATCTGCTCTCGTCACCTTAACAGGGCCGAGAGGGCCCAGGAATCTCCAAGTAGTAATTTAAAAGCAGGAGCTCTTCTGTAAAAACATGGATGATTCCCCCAAGCAGAGCAATCCGAATCTGAACTTTTACTCAGGAGAAACCATTGGGAAACGTGACCTTTGAGCCAATGTGTGCAAACCATAATAGCACCCTTGGAAAAAGAGAAACAGGAAGGACAGGGGCCTGTTTTAGGGGGGAGTGGTGGCAATGACAATTCCCCCCCTCCCTCTTTTTCCCAGTAAACCAGAGCTGTCCAAACTTGGCAACTTTAAGACTTGGGAACTTAAAGCATTATTCCAAATTCCAAGCCTCCCAGAATTCCAAAGCTGGCTGGGGAATTCTGGGAATGGAAGTCCACAAGTCTTAAAATCGCCAAGGTCGGACATCCCTGCAGTGGACCATGGGCAATCCTGAAGATGCTTCCCTCCTCTTTAGGCTGCAATCCTGTGGAAGCCACTAACTCAGGGGTTCTCAGCCTTGGCAACTTTAAGACTTGTGGACTTCAACTCCCAGAATTCCTCAGCCAGCAAAGCTGGCTGAGGAATTCTGGGAGTTGAAGTCTACAAGTCTTAAAGTTGCCAAGGTTGAGAACCCCTGCAGTGACTAACTGAAGAATAGGCACCATTTGAGGAGGGGGCAAAGCAGTGAGTTATCAAAGGCTTTTTGTGCAGGTGCCAGAAGCAGGCTGAGCTTTGGGTGCTACTCTGAAAAGGGGCATTGTAGGGGGGGGGGCAGAGAGTCTGTCTCCAAAAATAGAATCCAAAGCATTAGATCAGGGGTAGGCAACCTTGGCTCTTTTATGACTCGTGGACTTCAACTCCCAGAATTCCTGAGCCAGCCACGCTGAGGGAAAATGGAGAGCTTTCCATGCGGAGCCATGCTGGCTCAGGAATTCTGGGAGTTGAAGTCCACGAGTCATAAAAGGGCTAAGTTTGAAGACCCCTGGTTTAAATATTTTTCCTCACGGTCACATGTTCAAAATTCAGGCATTTGGGCAGGGGTAGGCAACCTTGGCTCTTTTATGACTCGTGGACTTCAACTCCCAGAATTCCTGAGCCAGCGTGGCTGGCTCAGGAATTCTGGGAGTTGAAGTCCACGAGTCATAAAAGAGCCAAGGTTGACTACCCCTGCATTAGATCCACACCCCTAACTGGACACAGGACACAGCCCCCACAGGCCATAAAAAAGGGCCCAGGAGACACAAGCCGAGCCCCCCCCCCTCCAGCACAGCAGGTCCCTGCACACCTGGATGGCTTCACCCCTCCCTGAAGAGCTGGGAGGTGATGTAATCTGCTTTACTGGTGTGGGTGGATAGATAGGTGTCCTACTGAGAATGCCTTGGGGAGGGGGAACAGAGTTTGGAGGGGTGGGCCTCCAACTGCCTGCCTTTCTCCCTCAACCTGCTGCCTCCCCCCCACCGGGGGGCTGGGGGCGCCCAGAGGGAGCCAGGTGCGGGGGGAGGATGGGGGGCTGGCCCTCAGCATCTCTGAACCCGGCAGCGCCTCTCTCTTACCTAGAGAAACCTTTTCCACAGCTCTGGCAAATGTAAGGCTTCCCCACCGAACCGTCATGGGAGCGGACGTGGTAGGACATGCGGTCTTTCCTCTTGAAGCGCAGCCCGCACACCGGGCACGAATAGGGCTTCTCGCCGGAGTGGGACAGCTTGTGCCGGTTCAGGTGGTAAACATCCCGGAAGATCTTGCCGCAGATCTCGCAGGCCACCTGCTTCCTCGTCCGGCTCCTCTTGCGGGGCGCCTCGGGGTCATCCAGACCGGGCATGCCGTTCTCGCTCAGCCGCGGCGGCGGGAGGTCGATGTAGCCCAGCTGCAGGCTGGTCACCCCGTGCTGGGCTTCGTGCTGCCGGAGCCGGTTGGCGTCGGTGAAGACCTTCCCGCAGAGGCCGCAGGGCAGGATCCCGGCGTCGCGCAGCCCCCCCGGGGCGCTGAACATGACCGAGTCCAGCAGGTTGGCCTTGCGGGGCCGCCCCCGGCCGCGCTTGCTGCCGAGCGAGGGGCCGGCGCCGCCCACGCTCTGGAAGGGCGAGGCCAGCAGGGGCGGCGAGAGGGGCCCGGCCACCATGGGCAGCCGGTCCACGCCCTGCAGCACCGGCAGCGAGGCCTGGGCGGCGGCGGAGAGCACGGCCCGCGTGGCCTCGTCCTCGGGCATGCCGGCGATCCCGTTGCCGTTGGGCGCCAGGCCGGCGCCGTTGGTCATGTCCAGCGGGAAGCCCAGGTCGGCGGCGCCGCCGGGGCGGAAGAGCATGACGTCGGGCCGGGCGGCGGGCGGCACGAGGATCTGCACGTTGGACTGCTTGATGACCTCCTGGCAGATGTCGATGACCGAGCGCATCAGCAGGAACTTGGCGGCCGTCATCAGCTCGGGGAAGCTCTCCAGCCGCACCACGATGCGCGACGTGTAGGCGAAGTCCAGGATGTCGCCGAAGACCTTGGAGCTGATGGTGTGCATCTCCAGCTCGCGCGCCCCGCCGCCGCCGCCGCCGGAACCGGGGCCCCCGCCGGGGCCGCCCCCCGCCTCGCCGGCGCCCCCCTCCGGCGCCCCGGCCACGCCGCCCTCGCCGCCCAGCCCCTGCGCGCTGAAGACCGACTCGAAGTACTCGCTGCAGGCGGCCAGCACGGCCCGGTGCGCGGGGAAGCTCTCGTCGCCCACGCGCAGCAGCACGTCGCAGAAGCGCCCGCCGT